TCGCATCCTTCGTATTTGGAGGCGTAGAATCGATTCCGCACGGTCCCGACTCTTGGCGAGACATCCTGAGCCGGGAAAAGGTCATAAACCGGTCAAAAACGAGTTTTTCAGCCTAATTTTTGACTCTTTCTCTGGAGCGTTTCAGCGGATAGCTCAAAGCGAGGGACTTGCGGAGCTTTTCCAACTGAAAAATCGCACTCAGCGGGTCATTTCCAAGCGGCCTAAGTTTCTTTCGGCTGGATCGGCGAACTTTCGATTTTGACGCTAAAATTTTAGTCCATGTAACGCCTGTCGATTTTTCTCGATTTGGGACTGAGAAAAAAATTTCAAGATTTCAGTCGCATCCTATGTAATCGGTGGCGTAGAATTGATTCCGCACGGTCCCGACTCTCGCCGAGACTTCCTGGGCCGAGTTACAGTCAAAAACTGGTCAAAAACGAGCTTTTCAGACCAATTTTTGACTCTTTCTCTGGAGCGTGTTCAGCGGATAGCTCGAAGCGAGGGACTCGTGGAGCTTTTCCGACTGGAAAATCCTACTCAGCGGGTTATCTCAAACGGCAGAACTTGGTTTAGGCTCGATCGGCGAACTTTCGATTTTGACGCTAAAATTTAGTTAATGTTAGTTAAATTAGCCTGTTTAGTTAATTTAGCCTGTCGATTTTCCTCAATTTTTGACTGAGAAAAAAAATTCGAGATTTCAGTCGCATCCTACGTATTTGGAGGCGTAGAATCGATCCCGCACGGTCTCGACTCTCGGCGAGATTTCCTGAGCCGAGAAACAGTCAATAACTGGTCAAACACGAGCTTTCAGACCAATTTTTGACTCTTTCTCTGGAGCATGTTCAGTGGATAGCTCGAAGCGAGGGACTCGAGGAGCTTTTCCGACTGGAAAATCGCACTCAGCGGGTCATTTCCAATCGGTCAAGCTTGTTCTCGGCTCGATCGGTGAACTTTCGATTTTGACGCTAAAAATTTAGTCCATGTACCGCCAGTTTTAATTTCAAGTAAAGCTAGTCTTCATGCATATTCCGGGAAAAATTTGCTCCCGAATTCCAATTTTTAAGCATCAAAATGTCAGTTTGAACTTTTATCCCGCCATAAGGATTCATGTATAATTTCGAAACTTCAAACACGTATTTCTCGAAATAGGAGAAACTGCGATTGTGCGCCATCAAAATCGAAAATTCGCCGATCGAGCCGAAAGCAAGCTTGGCCGTTTGGAAATAACCCCCTGAGTGCGATTTTCCAGTCAGAAAAGCTCCGCGAGTCCTGCGTTTCGAGCTATTTGCTGAAAACGCTCTAGAGAAAGAGTCAAAAATTGGTCTGAAAAGCTCGTTTTTGACCAGTTTCTGACCGTTTCTCGGCTCAGGAAGCCTCGCCGAGAGTCGGGACTGTCCGGAATCGATTCTACGCCTCCAACAACGTAGGATGCGAATGAAATCTCGAAATTTTTTCTCAGTCCCAAATCGAGAAAAATCGACAGGGGTTACCTACAATCGTGGACTAAATTCTTAGGGTCAAAATCGAAAGTTCTCTGATCGAGCCGAAAGCAAGCTAGGCCGCTTGTTTTCAGATATTGCATTGAAACCTTTTCAAGTTATTGTAAGACCATTAACAATTATACCCTCAGAAAACCACTGCCCCCCCCCCTCCAAAATAAAAAAAGAATCAATTCAATGGCCAAAGAGGGGAAGAAGTGAAAGAGATTACTTAAATGACACTCCAGAATGTGGGTTGTCTGTTAGGTTTCTGCTACAATTCAAAGTAAAGAGACTGCAGTTAGTACTCTTAATTTTAAGCTTCAAGGATTACAGTGTGACAGCATGGAAAAAGATATAAAACCAAATTTTATTTGAAAAATATTCATAGGTACCGAAGTATTTGAATTATAGTTTTTGTTCATCATGGAAATCGAACAAATTTTGCACTAGTGCTCGTGTGGTGCATGGTGGGTAAATCAGACGGAGACGAATAAACTATTTGATTAACTTTTATTATTTTTTGGCTTTACAGAAAATCTGGTAGACGTTGATTTATAAATGCACGGTAGGTACAGTCATGATTTTTCAAGTGATGCGTGATTGTTCTTATATAAAGATGCATTAAATCATCTGTAATCATACCTGTAGACGGATTGATTAGCAAGCTTAAAATGATACAAGAATTCCAAAATAATTAAGAACAGCAAGATCCTGAAGAATCCTGCAAAAATAAAAGGAAATCAACTCCGGCTAAATTTCGTTACAATTTGATTTGATGCTCTTCACAATAGCCAGAGAACATTTAGTGTTTTCAAAATCCAACTTTGTTTGTGCGAAAGTTGAGAAAAGCGACTCAGGCTGTAAAAAGAATTTCAAGGCATTCTCCCGCATGTTTTTGTGTTGAGAGGTAAGAGTGTCCCTGTGTGTACATGCTGCGCCTCATGTTTTTATCATACAAAGGAATATTATTCTCTTCGCCTGTCATGTCTCCCTGGCCAGCAAGGAAACAAAAGTGTCTCTCCGTCATTAATCAGATGTTGAAATATTTTACTAGCTTATATGTGTAAAGATGTTGAAAAACTCACTTTTCAGTTCCACTTTTCTCAGAACTGACACCTAGAAATTTTGATTTTAAAATCTCACCATTCTCAGGAGATCATTAAGAACACAATCGAATAAAAACAAAATTTGGTAGGTGCAAAATCCTTAGGTTTTCAGGGCAGAATTTTTTAGTTTGAAAATGCACAACTGGCAAAAAAGTGAATTGACTACTAAAATGGACAAATTATTGTACCTACTGGGGTATCTAGTTTGATTTTGAAAAATCAATATTCTTAAAAAACGAAAGCACAATTTTTTCGAGTTAAAAAAAATACATTCCTTCAAAGATTTGATTTGGAAAAATTTGCAAATCAATATTTGAATAATGACCAATGGCAATATCTATGATCTGACGCACAATATGAAAATAAAGCTATCACTATTTTTCACTTTGAGTTCATGCTTTAATAAAACTTTAATTTTTCATATTTTCAGCTACTCTGATTGGAGAGAAATTATTTTATAGGATCAATCGACATAAGATCGGAAGATTCAATTTGACTCATTTTCATAATGTAGCTCTTACACCCCTTGGGAATTTATGATTCAAATACCTACCTAATGCCATGTAAAATTTTGGGAGAAACACATTGGTGTGGCTGATTTTCATGGAAATGAACTCTCCAGCTAAAGAAAAGCTCTCAAAGTTTAGACCGTGATGGAGAAGATCACCTACAATATGGGAGGAGAATCAACCTCATCACCTCGTCTAACTTGAATACATTACCGTGGCTGCAGTCAAGGAGTCCCCACTGCAAAAAGTGGCAATCCTGCTTTACTTAATCTCCATCTGTGCATGGCAACAATATGTATGGAGAATTTTGCCTGGATCATGCAATTAAACTGTGCTATCAATGAATCAAGATCAAAAGGTGGTGTGTTTGGTTCAAGTCATTAAATAAGTCAATCACAACACCTAACCTTCATTTATTCTTAAGCGTTCAGCCCACTTACAAACTAAAGACTTCAAAGAGGTTCATCGATGCCTTACCTGGCCCTCTCATTGGCCAGTGGTTTGAGTCGGGGCAATCGATGAGTCTCTTTGAAGCCTCTAATTTGTAAGTGGGCTGGACGCTATAGCACAGTTTGCTCTTCTTATGATCCGGACTGAAGCATAAGTATACGAGTGAGCTCCTCTTATAGTACAGGCAATCACCTCCCTCATGACCTCAACTTTAAAGGCTTCTTGTGAGCTCGGTAGTTTATTCCAGAGAAAACCTAAGACACCATTGTGTTTGTCGTAACTTCAATTAAAAGGAGCCTGACCACCCAAATACTCAGGGTGGATAAGAATCAAGAAATTTTTTGGAAAAGGAAATGTAGATGAGGGAAATATTGTTGCTGAAAATCGTTTTGAGCAATGAGAGGGCAAAAGTACAAAATATTAGGAAATCTTTAATTTGTGCTACCTAAAAATCGTTTCATGTACTTATGAATTTGTATTTTTCATGCACCTTGTTAAGGTGAAAAATGTTAATAGTCTTCAATTTTTCAGCCAGCGGAAAATAATACCTGCAGCTTAAAAGAACACAGATCATTTTAATAAAAAAAAAAACCATCCTTAAAAAAAATAAAGAAAAACAGAGGAAGTGTCGATGAGAAATGGCATTTGATGTGTGAGTTGCAAGTAATACTTCTTCTACAGCCTGTATTGTTTTATCTCCACATTTTTAATTTTTTTTCCTCATGACTAATTAGTTAAAATTATGGCTTAGCCTTGATTAAAAATAGCCCGCATTTTTACTTATCTAATCAGCTTAATTCTCAATCAGCCAATTCGATCATAATTAGACCCTTAAAGAAAGTACTCGTAGAGCTGTTTTTACACTCCCACAAATAATGGATTCAGTGGACAAATGATTTCACCAGCATGTACTTTCTTCCAGTTAAAGAGGTTGATTTTGACACTCTCGTTAATCTATGATTCAGAATGTCCTCTAACTTACGATAATCAGATTTGCTGTCAGAGGTAAGACAGCTATTTAAATGTACGTTAGACCGGCTTTATCTTTTAAGTTTAAAGAGTGATTTTTTTATACTGATAGTAACAATAAATGAAGCATGAGGATGCTCAGATCTTATTATGATGGAAATTTTGGCTTAGGGAAAAGAAACATGGCAAGGAGTTCCACGCTGTTGCCTCAGATAGAGAAGCAGAAAAAATTTTATGGTTGGACTGGCTTCTTCTGCCGTGCTAAGGAAAAATGTCGTATGAGCATACGAATGTTGCCAAAAGTCCTCTCAGAAAATATTCATTTTTAAACGAAACTTTTGAATATTTTTCCTTGAAACTTTCAAACACTTCAGATCAAAATAAGAACAAAATTCTCTGAAAATTCGGAGGAAAAATATTCACAACTTTTCACAATTCGTGATTGATCACAGGAAATTTGACGATGTCTGAAGGCACATACGACGTTTCTCCTAAGCACAGTAGTATTGACCATTTCCACTTTGGGCTTAAACTGACAGATTTTGTTTGCTTTCCTCACTAAATTTTTGAGGGGTAATAAATTCAAGTAATACGGTGTACTGATGAAAAATTACCTAATTTCACAAAATTCACAGGAATTCATGCAGTGCTGTCGGGTTGTAATTAACCTTTAATGACAGCGATTGGTCTGAGTTTGATTGACTTTTTGCTGATGCCAGCCGCATGGCACGTATCGACGACGTCAGTCACATTTTTGTATGACTCAGGTGCCTCCTCCATGACTAGTTTAGGGGATGCAACTCGGATGGATATTCCTTGTTCATCAAGTTTCCTCAATACTTCTGTGTAGTCTAGATTCCGTCTTGATTTGGCACGAGACAAAGCACGACCCTAAATTTGCAACAGGGAAATAGTTCTATTGATGATCAAAATAAACATGTAAGAGAAAAAAGAAAACTCAAATAAAGTACAAATGTTTATAAACTACGTGTTTATGTAAGACATCCAATTTTAATTTATTGATTTTCTCTACAACAATATTTCATTTGTTTAGGGCCAACAGACAAATCATGCATTTGGGAAAACAAATTCTTGAATCATCACGATTTTAATTTTTCTATAAAATACCAAACACATCAATGCATTTTATCCAATTCCTAAAAATTAAATGAAAAATGCCTGAGCGTTTTCTCTAATAAAATGGTATTAATGTACCAGTATCTCTGTAGAGCTTTCCATTTGTTTGAAAAATCTGAGCTTAATGATACGGTGGAGGATAATCAGATAATTCTCAAATCCAGAGAAGACTGTTAAAATGAGCCATGGTAGATGACACATTAATGTTTCTAGGACCATACGTAATTTGATTCAAATTACATCTGTGGAGGTAGAAAAATTAAAAATCTACTGCAAAAATACAAAAAGAAAAACTAGGCTCTGGATTCGATGTACAAATGGAGAACTGTGACTAACGCCAACAACAATCCAAAAGTTCAGACACTCCTCACGGCTCACCTGATTTGAAAACTATCTTAAAACAAAAATTTTCTGGAGGTTGGTTCAGGCTGAATTTTGGAAAAATGATTGGACTTTCTCTTTGGAACTTTTTCAGAAAATTTTAGGCGTCTTGAGGTTGAAGGGATATTGATGAGGGGCCTCAAATTCCGCAATCAAAGTAGTTGAAGAAAAAAGTAAAAAACGGAGTCCAAAAAACAAATGGTGAATACTCACAGCCCCATGACATGTTGATCCGAAGGTTTCTTGCATTCCTTGTTCTGTACCGGTGAGTACATACGAGCAGGTTCCCATGGTTCCTCCGATTAAAACTGGCTGGCCGGTCAGTTGGTAGTCCACAGGGATGAGGGGATGATGCGGTGGAAAAGCTCGTGTAGAGCCCTGCAACGGGCGAAAATTCAGTTATGCTTGGATGCACGGATCCAATAAGGATATATTTACATTGGGCCAATTTAAAAAGAGCCTATCTATTGTTCGCGGTGCAGCACTACATGATAATATACATGCAGATTATAATGCCTTTTTTGCTTTTTTGTTTAAAAAAAAAAAAAAACCTCCACTTGGGTCTTTCCATGCATTTTTTAAACTTTTCATTGAGACCCAACATTGTATTCAAGGCACCTTCTTTGTTGCTGTTAGCTATTATTGACAGCGATAAGGCAGCCATGTGAAGTATGGGAACAGGACAATTTTTTAAAAAGTTAAGTTGACTCAGTTTGCAGGTGGCTGCAGACAGCAAAATTATAGCAAAGTCTGCAGTTTCTACCTCTATCGGGGAATTAGTTTACCTCTTAAAGAGATGGCACAAACAGGAAAAATACTCACCTTTCTATGAACTAATAATGTCCTTGGTTTACCATCTACCATATGCTCTTCGGTTTTGGCAATATTGTGAGAGACATCATAAATAACATGCATATCTAAATCATCTGGAGTTGTGTTAAACTGCTTAGCAAAAGCCTAGAAAAAATAACCAAAAAAGATAGGAATAGAAATAGAGAGACGAAAAAGCTGGTTTGCATTCTGCTATGTTTGAAAAAATTACTAAAGAAACCTTGGATAATGGATACAGAAGGAGACAAAAAAAGAGACAATATATGCCCTAATTGATTGTTCTTTGTGATTCAATATCAAATTAATTTAACCTCATAGAAATTGGAAATCATTATTATCCGTCTTATCAACTGATTTTTTCCTATTCTGATCAAAACGTATTTGTATACCTACTTTTTCAATATCATCTTGTTAACTTCTACTTAATAACTCATCAACAGAAAGAATTTAAAATTTCCCTTTCTTATTTTCTTTCATACAATTTGTACTGGTATGCATAAGTGCAGGTTTTCAGTGGGAAAATACAGGCCACTACTCTATTAACACTTTTTATCAGATAAGTAACAGTGCACCGAACAACAGAGGTATCGCACTCAGACGTAAAATTACCTGTCTGCTGAGGAATGTCATGGAGCTTCTGTTAACCCATGCAAAATTTGCTGCAGCAGACATTGACTTAAGGTAGTCTTGTCCCTCTTTTGAGTGAATTCTAGCACATGCTAATTGACGATCATTTGTTTCAATATTGTCACGTTTCATCGCTTTCTCCATTTGAACCAACGCATCTGCAAGTAAAAAGAATATCTCTTCAAAATTTGTCTCCTAAGAGAGGTAGGTATGATTGAATGATGTGTTAGGAATTGCTAATTGATAGTAAAGCTTCAGTTGGAAGGTCTGATCGAAAATTATTCAGACTTTTAAAATTTTATAATCACATCAGGGGTTTTCGCTTATGAAATATTGAAACTTATGTTACTGCGTGAAGATCACACTTTTGTGTCACGCCTCGCGTCATATTCATGACAGCGTTTTGATGCCATCTTGAATTCTGCGGGATACTAAGTTTAGTGCACTGACGAGTGTGATCTACTGATGAGGTCTAAAAAGACCCAAAACGTTATAGATCTCTCGGCGTGACCTCAACTTAATATTCCAATGCAAGCTGCCTGAGCTGAACACTCTCCCCCTCCCCTTAGTCTTGTACTGGTACTCATTATAGCAAAAAAATTGTTGACTGTTATTGAAAAATTTTTGGAATTTCTTGACTTTGTTTTCCCTGAAAAATGGTGTGAACCCAGCACCTCTTCTCCACCTTGTTACTAATAATTGAGTTAGTGAAGACAAGTTTGTTGTTCCAAAGTTTACTTGAAACATGCTTTGTTCAAAGTCATTGATATCCAGTTTCTCCGACAGCATCATCACTTTTTTCATTCATCAGAGGCTTCAACAAAATAGACGAAAAAGGAGCTGACGTTTGGTTTGTTATGGATTCTATTATTTTTCTTTTCACTTTTATACCATCAGATTTTATGTTTGTGGCAATTACTCACTATCAGGGTTGAGGTCAAAAGTCAATTTCTTTTTTCTTTCTTTTTTTTCCCCGAATAGGGCTTCAAGTCTGAACTCAACGGCAACTCCTCTTGGAAGAAGAATTTTTGGTAATCGAAACATGTTGACAAAATTATGTACTTTTTTACTTTGCGTTCAGCTGCCATTTCAGTGATTTCACAAAATAAAACATACAGTTTAAGATTGATGATAGAAGGTACACACAAAAAAAAACCAGAAAAATTTGAAGAATTCATAATTGAAAATTTAACGTATGCTATACCAGTGGCCACTTGATGTCCAAAACCGCGGCTACCAGAGTGAATCATGACGCAGATCTGGCCTTTTTCCTCGATGCCCATTTTGTCAGCAGCCCATTTATCGTAAATCTCTTCCACCACTTGAATTTCAGCATAGTGATTGCCTGCACCTAAAGTACCCAACTATACGGAAAAAAGTAAATTAATTGTAGAAACATGTGCATGTGGAATAATTATCTGGCTTTGAGTGGAATTTCAAGGAGACTGTAAGGAACATTCAGTAATATTTTATGGTAAAACCAAAAATGAATCCAGTGTGGTAAGCAAGGTGACCAAGCTAGAGTAAAGAAGATTTATGGTGAGAGTTTAACATTTTTGGCAGGGTGAAAAGAGGTTTGAATAGTGATTATAATATTTTGTTTTTCATATTAAGATCTTTCTAATATCCTTGAGAATAGACAATGACATCCAACTATTTGACAGAAACGGACTTGCTCCGAGGAGGCCAAAAGAGCAGTCAAAGCGAGGTATAAGAAATTACCGCACTACCCTCAAACCAAAAGGTACAATTATTGTGAGGGCACTAAGCACTTATGATTTCATTTACTTCTTAGAGGGATTTGTACTTTTTTCCCTATGTTTGACTCTTGATGAACTAAGTTTAGACTATGAGCTCATCAAAATAAGAAAAATTTGCATGGCAGCCTCATCAGCTTGAGACACTGATTAAAACAGGCACGGATAGTTAAAGGTTTACTGTGCTGCTAAAATTACAAATTACATATATTATAAATGAAGAGTGTTACAGATGCAAGAAGTAAATGCTATTTTTTAAGAAATTGTGACATTAATCATTTTGAGGAACATTCCGATTATCTTGTAAGTATTTGCCGTCAAAATCATGCATGTATTTGTTAGTATTTAATAGAAATCCAAACTGTGAGTAATCGATAGAAATTCAAATCAAATAGAATACAGTAACTACAATTTTTTGTTCATTGATTTGATGACCTGAGGCTGTATATACGTGAAAAAAGTGAGTGAAGTGTTTGAAAATTTTATATCAAAGATGATTACCTGAGGGAGGCCTCGCTTCTTTGCTCGCATACTGACTTTGGAGGGATCTGCGTTTAGCATTCTACCGTACTCTTCACAGTGTTCTTTGTCTTCAGCCCAGATGTAACCTAAAACATGAAAGAGCTGGTATACAAGGCATTTCATTTCATGGATCAATAAAGAAAACTGAGATTCAGATTTGTAGTATAGCTACCATTTGAATTTTTTTGTATCCAATAGAGTATGATGGTCTGTAAATCATTTCAAATAGTTTTTCTGAAGTTTCAGATCGCTTTGTTTCATTTGGGTCCTCATGCCAATGACAGGAAGTTTCTGTTTCCAGAATAGAATAAAACTAGGTTAAAACGATGGTTAGGATTTGTCAGTTGTACCTTTGGTTTTTTTTGGTGATGCCACTAGTTTTGTAAATGGTGTATCATCGACACCTCCTATGGTAATCGGGTGAACCCGAATTGATTCCCATGGCGGTTACTCTAATTCCGAATCGGTTCCCGTATGAAACAAACCCTTAGTCCGCACTGGTTCCCGATTTAAAATTTTTCATGTCCGAATTGGTTCCTGCGAGTGAGTTGATTTTTTGCAAGGAGCGGCAACTGCGCAAGGCTCATCCAAATATTTTTGCTTTATACAAACTCTATTACAGATCCAGTCAGATCCATACATTAAATTAACAAAAAAACATCCTCGTCCTCCTGCTAAACTGCAAAAGCAAAAAAGGGAATTTCTGGAAACTGCGGTTAATGAATATATTCAAAATCACGATTGTTTAGGTTTTCTAAAAAAAATTGATTTTAAATGCTTGCCCGTGCAATCTTTGAAGTAGCTTCTTACTAACTTTTTAGAGTATACTTAAGAATTTTATTAATAAATTTTTCTCTTTGTGATTCTATTATTTTGATTTTGATATCCTGATTTCCCTCCGATCCGACCAATCCTCTCCTCTCCTGAAATGTATATAGAAATCTGGACCTTTTTTTAAAATTTCCTCTTGAATCACTCTTATTTTCATTTTTATAAGCAACATTTTTAACCATGCCTACCTTTTTGGTAGACAGTCCTAAGCCTGTAAAATGGGAAGGAAAATGTTAGCACTTGAGCGAGCCGTGTTGCAATTCTGAATAAAAAATGTTGAATTACGAATTTAGAGATGGAAACTAATTCGGACAAGGGAACCAATACGACCCTCGGAAGTAGAAACCAATACGGAAATGACCGTCATCGGAAATGGGAACCAATTCGGCCACTTGGGAACCAATTCGGCAACTCCCTGGTAATCAACAGGTGACAATAATCGAACACGATGAAGACCTCAGGAAGAAATGAAGGGATAAACAAACAACATACCCTCTCGCAAAGACCAATCCATGCCCATCTCCAAAGCTTCCTCCAAGTCACGGGCATTCATTGGGATGATCCCTTTGGACCCCACACCGACTGGAATATGATCAAACATACTCTGAGCTAGTTGTTCCTGAAAATATAAGTAAAAAAGGGAGCTATGTGAATTTTGAATCTAACAGCAGAGGTAATACAAAAAATTGAGGGTAAGGCTCCAAAAATAAGGTTATTTTATTGCAGTAGAACCTGTTTAAAATGAAAAACTAGCCAAAAAAAAATCGTTTCACATACACTCATAGAATTCAAAAAAAAAGAAAATCAACAGGGACTTTGACTGTTTTCATTCTATCAAACTGATGCATTATGTAAACTCACTGCAATTTTCTAAATTCCAACAAATCATTTCTTGTTTTTCAGATTGACAGTAAATTTTGAAAAGTTCAAAAAGTTCGTGAGGAGGCTGATTTCGCCCCTTTTTTCTCACATCTCTTCTATTCCTGATTATTGGTGTTTTAAATACATATTTTACAAATTTTGCACTTCGTGAGTGTGTTGCTTCTATGAATGCGATAATAGAAATTGATTGTTTTGACAACCTAATTTTTAAAAGCATGAAAAGTTGTAAACTTCTTTGCATCATGTAAGAATCTTTTTGTTCAATTGTTTAGAAGTTTGTCAAAAGAATATTGGAATAGTTTGAATAAATTTCAACTTGGTATCATTCATTCCATTCTCACTTATTGTTCTGCAGAAAAAGTTCAGTTCATTAAAGTAGAAAATTTGTAAACTATAAGTGGATGGGTTCTCACTTTGACCGGGAGCACATCCTTTTCAAACAGATTTGTTCTCAAGAGTCGAACACCGCAATTAATATCAAAACCGACTCCGCCAGGTGATACCACAGATTTTGGATCATTCGCATCAAATGCAGCCATGTTCCCTGAAATATGCAAGCATACACTTTCATTTAAGAAAAACATCTGAACTGAAAATACAATTGGGGAACAATTAATGTTCAAACATATTTTCCTCTTTGAAAAGGTTATTTCTGCATTTCTTTTTTTTTCCTCCCAAGTGCACTGCACCTTCAGCATGCACCAGCTCGATCTCCTGCGATTCCATCACTTTATTCTTTTCATCAAGAATATGCATTTACTTTGGAATTTGTCTTTCTATGTTGAGCTTATTGCCTACCTTAGAAGAGGCTTAAAACAAATTAGATGATAAATTGAAACTCAACTCCTATTCAGATGTGTTCCAACAATAATATCTACGTTGGGAGGCTATGCCCTCTCACTGCCTCCAAATCCAACACCCCAAAACACTTTGCGCCTCAGGCAGTATGCAATATTCTGATGATTTTTCACGGTAGAATAAGATTTGGGAGGTGTTAAATTGAGACGAACCAACTTTGTTGAAGAAAAGAAATTTGCTTCTAGAAAAAGGATGGCAGAATTTTACACTTTCTTTAAACAGAAAAAGTTTTTTGATCAGGTCATTGATTCTAATGATTTAAAAATCATAATTTCTCATATTTCAGAGAGAGAGAGAGAAAATTGAAGTTGATTGGGTTGCGATTATTGATCTAGTATGATATCCAAGTTGCTTGCTTTCTTTTAATATGGAAAAGAGCGGAGTTAACTTACAAAAGAAAACCAATTAGATATTAGTTTGTTTCTCCGAGATGGCTGGCAAGAAAAACTTAAATTATGAGCAAAGAGCAAACTTTACAATGTTTCTGTTGTAGAATTTTGCCTGCTAACTGAGTACGTTCCCTTTCGCTGAGCTCTGCTCACCTATCCATAAAATCACAGGTCCTTGCTAGAAAAACGTCTGCAACAAGAGAATGCATTTATAATGGCTCATATGAAAAATAAACTATCATACCAATAGCAAATCCATAACCGGAATGTACATCAGGAAGTCCGACTGATTTACCAACGATGCCAGGTAATGCTGCAACATTTGCAATTTGCTTCATGCCAGGTAAAAAACCACCAACCATGCCTGGACGACAAGCATTTCGTAACTCATCAAACATGAGTTTTTCCAGATGATTGTTAACGTAAAATATTCCTTCCACCTGAGAAAAAGAACAAATTGAAAAAATTTTTAGTGAAGCATTTTCCTTCTTGAATGGGGTGGGAAAATTAAATTTTGGGATTCCAAAAAACTCTCCCTTAAGTCCTCAAGAAAAACTTACTGACAGTTTGAACCATTTTGGGGTCAAATCAAGGCAAGAATTTGCATTAGATTTGAGATATTCAGGGCCCTAAACATGGCAGTTTAGAATTTTACACAGCTTGTTAACGAAACTATTATTCTTTTAAACTCAAACCTGTAACTGTCATGACGCTGATTTGGATTCAAATTTTTTGCCCCAGAATTTTTTTAAGGCATTCCTTCATACTTTAGTGTCAATAATTCAGTTATTTACGTTGACTAGGGTCCCTTTTCCCATTGGCACTTTCAAATATGCATGAGAAAATAAAGAAAAAACCATTAATTTTAGGGAAATTTTGGTCATTAACAGAAGGAGAAATCTTGAAAAAAGTAACAATGCCCGGCTTCAAAGTAATAAAATTTGAAAATGATAAGAAAGTAAATGCTTTTATGACATTCAGTTTGACAAAAAAGATGAGTAAAAATTTGGTTTAATCTTTAGTTTTATTTATTAGTGATTGAAAATTATAAAGGAACAACCATTTGAGGAGGGAACGAAACTAATTTATTGAATTCATCAAACACGAGGACATTCTTTGATTCCTTTCTACAATTACCAGGTAGCTTCAGAAAGCTTTACTAAAATTGAAAACTGCAGCAGTATGTATTTATGGAATTTTTTTCTCTTTATTTTCTTTTCGTTACTTCACGTAGCTCTCAAGAGCTAATCCCATTTAATTCCTGTCTACCTTCCCTCCTGTCATATTAAGGTGATTCGATGGACGCCATATTTTGTGTCAGAACGGCATGCAATCAATCGCATCAATTGGTTCAATTTTTTCAGCTACTCGTCATTTTTCTCCAATTTTGAGATCACAATTCTGTTGTCAGGAGACTAAAGCACTCACTTACCAATTTTAACAAAGAAATTCAACGTAATAAAGGCGTAGTTTTTTTAAAGAGAAAATATCCCATTCGAGTGCAGTTTCGATATCAGTATCGAATGCGATGTTTTCTCTCTAAACACGCCTTCATTACGTTGAATTTCTTTGTTAAAATTGGTAAGTGAGTGCTTTAGTCTGCTGACAACAGAATTGCAATCTCAAAATTGGAGAAAAATGATGAGTAGCTGAAAAAATGGAACCAATTGCTGCGATATATAGCATGCCGTACTGACACAAAATACAGCGTCCATCGAATCACCTTAACCTAATTTATAAACCAAATTCCTTCCACCTATAACAACTGGGCAACAGTTCAATGTGTCAAGAAAGAAAAGATGTGCATTGACATGACATATAAAGCGGAACCTTTCTTTCATACGGAACAACGGAAGAGTTCATTATTGTTCTGATGATCTCATGCAAACAAAGCTTTTCCGTGGATCTTAATGAAATGCATGGAACTTTCATTTCATGTGGCCGTTCAATGCAATCTAATACGGCGAATGCTGTAATGGTTCCAAGATAAAAACTGAAGCAGTCTATAATTCTACAGTGAGTTATAGCTGTACGCTTTAGAGTTACAATATGATTCTTTCCTTGCTATGCTACCGACTGACACAGAGAAATGTAATAAAACTGAGATGAAGTTTGAATCTTACATTCATGTTGGGTTGAAATCCTTTTTTGATCCTCCATGAGTACGGAGTAAGTTTCTCAAGGTATTTCAGCTCTTCGTTGTACTGTCTCACAACCATATTGGATACAAAATAGATTTCTTTGACAGTTCGCTTCGAGGGGGAAAAGCTTGTAACAGCAACGTTAGCTTTAAAAATTTGCTCAAACACGTTACGCTACAGAAAACTACTGGAAAAACTGCTAGAAAAATCGAAAACTTGAAAAGCCGGAAAAACTTAACCTCTTCACTTCACGTCCACGGTTTGTTGATACAAGCTCACCAACATGCAACGCTAAAACTAGACACTATTGTTCTCATATTTATATGATAAATGTCATGAAATGTCCGTAATTTTACCGGTAAAAATCTCAAAATTCGATTGAAATTACAGTTTAAGAATGTAATATACCATAAATTTACATACATGAGCGATATACTGAGATCGAGTAGAGGTTTTGTTTATTGATCACAGAGACAACTTTTTGGCAAGGGTTGGCAATCTTGAACAGCATTTGTTTTTTTTTTTATTGTTTTTATTTCTCCCCTTCTCCCCCTTCCGTTGTCTTATCACAATGTATTCCCCCCTTTTCCCTTTCTAACCTCCCTTACCCATTGGCCCATTGATCTCTATGCATTGATCTTGCTGCAAGCTGCAAGTGGTTATATAACGTGAAAATTAGCATAAAAAGTGTGTTTCATTCCTATCAGTGACAGAGTGTTTACTTTGTTAATTGTAAATAAGTTTGATTACAATAGTATCCTTCATTTTCCTAAAATGAAGAACGTCATCGCTGATTACCCATTTTTTTGTGCTTCTCTAACTTTTAAGGTCGTAGGGAATGAGTGATAAAGTCTATTTTGTCAAGGGGCAAGTTTGTGCATAACTTCACTACACTACTCTTACCAGGCTTTTCCTCCTTTGTGTGTGCTTCCAGTATTGCTCTGAAGCAAAAATCATGGCTGACCCATCAATTCAAGCATTCTGTTGCCGGAGCCCTGAATCCACCAAGATTATTTCGCTCAATTTGATGAGCGAATTCAACTCCGTCTCCTACAACACAGTCTGTTTAATCTCATCAATCATCGGAATTTTCGGCGCTATTTTTCAGGTTTATCATCCAAGCATATCTCCTTTCTAATCTAACTCTTATCGCCATTATTTTGATCTGCTAGAGATCAAACGTGAATCAATTCATTACATGAACTTGTATAATCAATGTGGACCGCTGTTTTAGACCAAAACTGCAACCAGATATAGTTTTAATGTAGAGTCGGAAGAACCAAAAATTTCACATGACCATCAAGTCAAGTAGGAGAGAGTTTTTGAGTGTGGTAAGCAATTTGGACAATTGACAAAACAAAAATCCCTCTTTACAGTACCCACTGTGAAAAAGAGTACCGATCCCAGTACAGCCCATAGATTGTCTCCCATCTATTCTGGACGTGCCCTCCTTGCAACTCTCTCTGCAGTGAAATTATTTAGAGGCTTCTATCATCTATTGAAGATAGTTCTTGTAGAAAGTTAACAAAAATTTTTAACGTAAAGAAGTAGAAAACGATTAAAAAAAGTGTCTCTGAATCAGTAAGTTTCAATAATGGCTCTCAAAAAAAAAAAAAAAAAAAAAAAAAAAAAAAACAATGTTTTTCCACAGCTCTTTTTTTATTTTTAACCAAATTTTAAAGTTACTAATGCATGGAATTCTAAGTGAAGGCATGATATCAGCTCTTTTTGAAAATTGTTTCGTAGATCATTTTCTTTGTATCATACTTATGATTGCATGAAGTTCATTGTTTAAAAAGTCACTAATGTATCATGGTAATTTTTCATTTGACAGATGTTACCGCGGGAAGACAGAGTCCAGCCTCACAGGCCCTATTCTTCTGTAGCGTTGAGAGGCAGGAAAATCATACTGTGGTTAGCATTTGGAGACCTCATGGCCACTTTAGGTAAAATAAAAAAAATGTTTTCTGTTTAAAAAGTCATTGGTGTGTAAAAGCTGAAACTTATTTTACTTGCCATAATCTCTTGCATACCTCTAATGAATAAAATTATGTTTCCTCATACTTAAAATACGTACTTAGTAACGTGTCCTAAAACGAGCAGCAATCCAAAGTCTCTCTATGCCTTCATGTTTAAATCATTAATTAGGGTCTTAAATTTTAAAGTGTTCTTTCTTTTTCTTCTCTTTTGTTTTTTACTTTGTTATATTGTCACTAAGTTAATCTAAGTTCTTAGAAGACTGAGCTGAGTAGGCAGTGGTGCCAATCGTCTATGATTTCTTTTATTTCTTTTTCAATTAGTTTATGTTTTACTACTTTTGCCACACGAGGCTAGACCTCTTGGCATTTTTTATTTTGTAGTGGCCTTAATTTAATTTGTATTATGTTTTTTCTTGTATTAATAAAATGAATCTGAAAATGAATCTGAAATCTGACTTAGGAATGATAGTGAAATAGGAATCAAAGGAAATTTCCAATCTAAAGACACTCTTTATGGCCTACATCATTTCTTGCGACATAATTCTGAAAAGAAGAACTTAAAAAAATGTTCACAAGCCCTTCTTTTACCAATCAAAGCTATTTAAAATGAAAACTTGAATTGATAAAAGGCCAAAGGTCAAAAAGTTAATTTTAATTTATTTACAGTTTATATCTAAAAACTACTACGAAATGTACCACCAACGTTATCTTTTGGACACTACATGTATGGTATATTTTATCGTTGGTAACATTAACCTATTATGCAGCATGTCGTTCTTGATGCTTAGAAAAAAATGTTACGTCTACCTAGCTTAATTTTCAATTTTTTTGGCTGTAGCTTATTGATGTAACATTAGGTTATTGATGATAAGTTTTACATTTTTTTTTAAAAGATTTTAATTGGGTTTTGAAAAACTGCTGTACACCCTGCAAAAGTGAATGGCCCTTTGCCTAAGGCATGATGACATTTGCTTATTTTCATCTTTATAAAACTTAACATCCAATAGTTTACTATATTTTTTTCTTTTTTTTTTCAAAAATACCTGTAAAAAATTGCATTTGTTTTCCAGGTGTTCTCCTTCGGTCAGTCTTGAAGATTTTAGTTGCTTATGAGTATTTACAAGAAGAGGATACTAATATTGTGCTGTGTGTCATACTTGCCGTAAGATCCTCATTTACCTTTCCTATCACTCAATTGATACTAGTATGAAATTGTATTTTGCAATCCTTTTTCAAGGTTTCCTATGATCAGTCTTTTCATGTTTGCTTTGACAACTTTATCTTGTTTGATTTTTGATTGCAAATATACATTGTTTGACCTATCAGCTTTAAAACTTGTGTAGGTATCCAGTAATAGGCCAGTGATGAAGTAAATGTTTGAAGCAAATCCAGTCATAGTCTAGTACCTATTCATCAAAATCATGTCTATTCATGACTACCTCTAGTCTTACAGGGGTCATTATTAGAAAAGTGGATTTTTCCCTTCTTTCCTATGTATTATAAATAGCCCGATGGGTTAATCCTTTGCTAACCACTTTTTGTCACTTCTTAATAACCAACTGAATGGGATAAATACAAGAGGAAGGGATAAGTTCAATTACTACAAGTGAAAAGCTTGTTTTTCCCTTTTTTTATTTTTCGAGGGAAAGCAATCATGAAGGTTGGTAAAAATAGAGGAAATACCTTATAAGGCCAATGGAAGACTAGACAATTTTGGTATTCCTACAAATGAAGAAAAATTCACATAGTCTGTGAAAGAGAGGAAGAAAACATCACGCATATTTCATCTAAGCCTTAATGAATTTCATTTGGAATTAACAGGTGATAATACAATACTTTTACACCGTAACTTGGATGTGGACTCTAATCTATGCCATTGACATGTGGCTGGCGCTCCAGGACAAAAAGGGATATCCTGTCTTGTATCATTCATTGGTGTGGATCATCCCTGCGTGTCTAACTAGTGTCGGCTTATTCATCTTATATGCTCCGAATGTAGAGTAAGTAATGAATCTCTGTCAAGGGATGTTTCCTCTTAAGATTAGTTCTTTAGTAAGAACAGGGCTTGGTTTAGATTTTTGACCGTTTTTTGCCATCTTTTACTTGGCTTTTGTCTCTGATCAGACTTCTACTCTCTTCACTTCTAGAACCTTGATAGTCTTGAAACTAATTTTTGATGGATACTTCAGTGTATGCACCGCAGTCAAAAAGGCTGGAGGAAACAAATTTCATTTTTTCAGTAGGTCAAAAGAAGATTAAAAATTTTGACGGTTCTGTCTATGATTTAATTTTCTTCTCAAAAGGTAATAATTTTCAACCGCTAACTTTTCAAAAAACAGAGATGGGTCAGACAAAGAGATGGTGTTCTCAAGTGGCACAATGGCTCAAACATCACTTCACTGTCTAAAATTTAGTGCTGCATGCCATTCAGAAATTTAAGGAATCTTATCTTGTGATGAACTTTGTGGAACCTCTAAAATTTCTCACAGATTTCATGGATTTCATGAATGTATCAATTCCTAAATACAACTGGACTAGATTTCTCAGTAAAGCACTATTATCACTGGCTCATTTTAAAAACAACGTATGAGCCATTTGATTCCTTGTGCATATCAGCGCTTTTATAACTGAGTCAGGAATGGAGATGTTGCATGTGTGAGGAATTTGCAATTTGACTATTGATCTTTATGTTAAAGTTCGCGAAAAACACGATGGTGCCACTGGTTTTCTCTGAAATCAACTCCCAAGCTCAAAATAAGCTCTCAAGTTGAGGCCAAAATGGAGGGGGTGCCCCTTGTTAGAGAGTCCACGTCTACATCAAGACGAACTCTCCATGCAAAGATAGGGAGCAAATACATTGACAGAGCTACCACTTTATTTGGGGACTCTAAGACTGAAAACACGGCATCCCTGCTAATGTATTTACTCCCTATCTTTGCATGGAGAGTTTGTCTAGATGTAGAGGTGGACTCTCAGGATAGCGTGGGATATCCCCTCCATTTTGGCCTCAACTTGAGAGCTTTTTTTGAGCTTGGGAGTTTATTTCAGAGAAAACCAATGGCACCATGGTGTTTCTTGCGAACTTTTACTTAAGAATCTATATTCAAATCGCAAATTCTTCACATGTGCAACATCTCCATCGTGGTTCCTTATTAACTAATCTAGTTCAGCTTTTTTACTAGTTGGTCAAAAAAAGATAATCAGTGGGCTGTTCTTTGAAAGTTTGATGTCAGCACGACAAGACTTCAAAAATGGATATGGAACATGATACCGTCCCTACCTTTTTCTATCCTGTCAACACAGTAAGAAATAGTTTCAACAAGAGAAATTCATTTGTGTCAGTATGAAAAAATGAAAGCCTTAACATATTGTCAAAATTTCCATTAAGCAGTTTGCATTCAAAAGTAGCAGGTAAGGGTTCATGGAGTGTGATAGGGTTATTAGCGAACTCCTTTCCCCGTAGCTGTTTTAAAACTCCTTTAATTTTTTTTTCTTTTTCCAGCTGTCACAATTTGTTACCCAATGAAAGCGCTTTTCTGCGTATTCTTCCGAACTATTTTGCCACCTATCTGCCAATCCTCACAGTCATGACAGTCAACCCAATCCTGTATCTACTGTCCGCCAGATCGGTTCATATAGTGGTTGCTCGCAGTCTGTGCCAATACACACAGAAAGAGCGCAAAATTGTGGACTCCATTCGGCTGAAGTTTGGGCTCATCAATTTGGTCTTCTATGTATGCTGGTTACCAAATATAATCGGAGGTATTATCGTTTGGGTGTACTGGGATAATCTACCACGAACTTTCATTTTGGTTTTGTGGTATTTGATGGTAAGTCTTTTTTTCATGGTATTTTAGACCTGTAAAATTATTTTTCATTCAGTACAGCTGACTTTTTAACTACAAAGCCTTGAAAAATTTTACAACACTCTTTAAAAAACTTTTTGAAACATTTGAAAGAGAGGTAAAGATAAAATTTGTTGTTCCTTTGGCGCGACTCTAATGTATGTGGATTAATATTGAATGGTAAGAGAGAAGCTAAAAGGCAGTTTGACACATATTTAAAGTACGAACATTTATTGCCATTGTTGAATTTGTTCCCTCACAAAATTCAGTGTGTTGACTCTTAAGTTTACGTTTTATGAAAGTCTAAAACTTTTCATCAAGGGTGTGGACTAATTGAACCATAATTAGACTGACGGCATCAGACGTTGTTTGTCTACTGTTTTATTTTGAAACACAAAACAAAGCAACACTGACACTTGAAATTTTGCACGTCTTTTCCTCATAATCTAAGGAAAATTTAGAGAAAGTTTAAAGGTGTAGAGTACAAAGGGGTTTCTTCCGTCGAACTATTATTACGTGTTGAATTTTTTTTAAAGGTTAAAATAATTTCAAATAAAACAAAAATTGACGATCCTATATTCTTTCAGGCAACTACAAATCCACTTCAAGCATTGTTCAACAGTCTAGTCTATCGGAGATCAAGAGACAAAGTCATGCTGTTCAGAAACCACCAACAAGCTTTTGGGGAAACTACACCGCTTCTTCCAGCAAGTAAACAATCAGGAAAAACCACTTCTGATTAGATTTTCATTTTGTTTTCAAATGACTGTGTATCTAGCTCTTTAATATACTCACGCATTCATTTCTCAACCAGAACTATTGAAAAGTATAACACTTTTAATATCTAGGGTTTTTACTCATCAACCAACAAACTCATCCGTACCTGCAGTGCTTTTTAGTTAAATTTCGTTTTTGTTTGTATATTCTTTTCCCTAATGTACCGTGTAGTATTTTAAGGAGTAATTAATAATTAATTTACAATAATCTCTTAGATGATTTTTTTTTTTTTTTTTGCCGCTTGGTTGTGCGAGTTACGTTTTCTGAACAACAAATTCTTCTCCAAACCATTTTTTTTTAAAATTATAACATGATCTCTTTCAAGTTTTTGAATGTTGTCCCCCCGTGATAGCACAGGTGCCTCAAAAAGTGGTGCTTAGTCACATTCAATCTCACAGTCAAGTCCCTGCTTCCGTTTGAGAGGTGACATTAATATTGATATTCACTTAGCTGCGGTGGCCTCTTTATGAGAAGGAAATCCCCCTGTCTGGTCCTTACTAAGATTTCATTTTTGTTGAATATGTCATTTTGGTGGCATTTTTCAGTGAGAAAATAGAAAATCCATAGCAGATAAACTTTTATTTTTCAAGCGGGACTTATTCTGCAAGGGACTTCTTCTATATGAAATACAAGAGATAAAAGGAAGGGCAGTTATTAGTCGAGGCTGAAACATTAAAACTGCTTTGATGCCCAATCTTAAGTCTCTTACTGTGAAAGAAATGATGGCTCTTGCAGCACCTTTGATCCCAGCTTCTCTTATGCTGTGTACAGCTTGCTACTGAAATGTAGGTATTATTTGTGTTTGTTAGAAATTTGTTCAGATCGTAATAGGATGTAAATCAATAAAAATAATGAGACTTGTCCTACTGCCAAGTTCCCTTGTTCACTTTTAACAGCGATATCGCTCATTGTGAATACAGTCATTCAATGTCGTAGTTTCCCTGATTTTTCCTGGCTTACTTTGCACAGTGTCGGACGTTATCAACTGTATGTTATGAAGAGCAATATCCCTGTTCATATCAGACTTGAAAACTTTGGACAGATGTAAATATGCAGTTTTGGCTAATTGATAAGCTCACAACTTTGTAGTTTACCTTTCTTTGTACAGTTCTCCTTGAATCCAGAGTTTGTAATATAGTTCTCTCTTTAGCTGTAGGTGTTACCATTGATGTAACTTTTAGTTATAGAGTTACAGGTTTCGTCCAGCACAAAAGATATGTGTGCGAATGGAATTGATCAAGACTGCAAGAGAATTATGTCTATTTTTCCCACTGATGTTTAACAATTATTTATTTTTCGAAAACTCGTCATTTTTATAGTGAAATAATTTTTGTCAAGCGCCCTTTACCCATGAAGAATTTTTGCTAATTTTTCAAACTTCATGTATTCTCACTTTTTGGTTCAGAAGCATGGAGCCATCAAGGCAGCCAAAAAATAGGTTGAAACTGTAATGAATCATCCTGCCGTAAACTCAGAAAAGCTGTAGGAAATATATTAGGAGAACTTGCGTCTGATGTTTTAAAAAAAGAAAACATTTTTAAGTACCATGTAGTAGTTTATTTCGGCTCCATGTTCCTCTTTTTCAATTAGATGGGTGAGAGTTGTGTCATCCTAACTTTCCACTGTTGCAAAATTTTCCAGCATATTTTCATAATATTTAAGATCCATCAAAATTAAGTAGTGATTGTTTGTAAGACTGAAATGAAAAGTTTTTGTTTAGATAGGAACAAATTCGTAAGTTAATGATTTTCTAAATCCATCAAGTAGATGGTAATTTTTCTTATAGTGCTCCAGTAATATGTATATCTACTTATCTAATTTTTTGCATGACTAACTGACTGATTTACTTTACAGGGTTCACTCATCTTCTTGATGTATTATTTCGGTGCTTTGAAAATCCTAATCTTTCAAAATTTTTTGCTCACTTTTTTTTTCTAGAATTTTTTCTTTCTTGCATCATTTTTGCAAGATAAACACAGTGTCACCTTTTTAAGGTGTCATTTTGGTCTCATTCTCCGTTGGATATGTTTCATCTAACAAAGTCATCCATTGTCTCTTAGATTTTTGTCCTCAGAAGAAGAGGCGATAAATATATTTCGGCAGTTAAGAAGAAATAAAAATAGAACTTTGCAAGAAAATTGAGTGTATTTATTTATTGATATATCTTTGTGACTAAGTATCAGAATGAGATGTTTAAAAACGATTTGGAATGAAGCTAAATCATTTTTTGTCTTGACTTATGTTTCAAATTTATTAATTCTGTGATTTTCTGTGTGGGCCTTCTTTATGACTCACATATACTATACATGACTCCATAAGTGACTTTTACATAGAAGAATGTTTCGTACATCTTTTATTTCTAACTCTCCAACTCAGCTCTTTCAAACTCAGTTCTTAGAAATTTTTCACATTCATCATAAGTTATTTTTCCAATACAAGTGCAAGAGCACGTACTTCTGTGAATAAAGGCTATGAAACTTGCCAGGGTTATGGAGCCAATTTTTTGCTTAGCCTTATATATGTAACTTCGGAGACTTCTGGAATGACGTTATTTTTTCTTGTATTTTTTAATTTCTGTATAGATACTAATTTTGTATTTTTGTTTACTGAGTCTCTGCGAAATATGAGGCCTTGTTCTTTTGACGTTCATTGTTCTTCAGACGTTGAAGTCAATAAAATTTGTACTACTTTTTCATCACGATAAATTTGTTTTTAGAACTCGTTTGGCTTCCTTCTCACTTGTTATTTCATTAGACCATCAAAATTTCCCTTCCTTCTTAGGATGGCAGGGCAAGTCCATGTCCAGTTAGACTGGGAATTACAGAGCACCGCCCTAAAAATTACCTCACCTTAAAGAGCACTTCAAAAATCGAAAGTGATTTTGAAAACAAGGAGGACAAAATAAAAATCAACCTTTCAGTTACATCACGCTCCTTTATAATGCAACGGATAAATTTAGTGTATTGAGGCATCGAAAGACCCAGGTACACTACTGAATTTTTTTACAGAATGATCACAAGAGCATCTGCCAATGTCATACAAAAAAAAATATTGCACAAAACAAAAATAGATACAAGAGAAGGTATTGAAAAGAGACAGATATTTAAGGTTACCTAGAAATTATTCGAACTTAACTCTAAATTAAGGAAAGAAGTAACTCTGCTAATAATAACATGGAGTCTGAATGAACCGGCTTTAATAAATTCTGTCGCCCCCATGAACTCAAAAATGAGGAGTTAGTTTCTGAGCCACTGCGAACAATTATATACCGAAGTATTTTCTACAATGCCTCAATGAGAGCAGTATTCCCAGACTTGAAACCTTTTCCGGGCCTTTACTCAAATTGATCAGAAAACTAACGGATTTTGAAATGAAATCACATCTCTATTTAATCAATCCTTAAGCTGATTTAATTTATCTATTTTTTACTTAAAATAAAAGTTGCAAATCAAGAGTACCTTTGGATTCAATCATTGCCCAAAGCATGAACCCCTCCAGTGGCGTAACGGACTTCCGCTGGGCCCCCCCGCAAAATTTTTTCTAGC